GAACTAAGAGTTACAAATTAGACATTTGAAAAATTCATGTCCAGTTTTTATTGTGCATGATTTGACCAATTTTAATGAACCTACTCCCAAATTTTTTGATTATCTTCTCTTTCCTTCCTTGGTAAGGAATCCACATTATTTCTTTGGCCAAAAACTTATATTCAACTTGTTCATGGGACTATTTTGGATGTTATGATTGCGGCCACTGCAGTTGGTAAATTTTCTTGATATTTTGTTTATTGATATGATAAAATTTTTTATGATAGTTCATGAAATACTTTCGAGGAAATATAGAATTTTATGTTTAGCTTTGTTTTATGAACATCCGAAGTTCAATTTGTTAGATTCAATTTTATTTTAGGTTGGGCAGATTGATGTGGATTTTTTTTTTTTTATATGTTAATGGAAATTGCAATTTTCTTTTTCTTGGGAGGTGAAACTTGGATTTATCTTTGAGGTTGTGTTTGGATTTTGATTAGACGAGTGGTGATGTATTTCTTTCGTAGGTGGAAATGTAATCTGAAGTATGAGAGCTAGATGATAGCTTTGGAGTAACTTCATATCTTGATTGGTGGTTTTAGTTATTCATTTTTCTGATTCAGGCAACTTGTGGATAACATAGCCTTGCTTTTTATGGGATTGCTTGTGCTTTGTAGCTCTTCAGTTGGGCTTTGGTGGACTGTTTTTTGCGCATAAACTTATCTCGATTGGTGGTTTTAGTTATTTATTTTACGGATTCATGCGACATATGGATAACCTAGCCTAGTTTGTTATGGATTTGATAGGACTTTGTGGCTCCTCGGTTGGGCTTTGGTGGAGTGGTTTTTGCGCATAAACCACTGTGGTTTTACTGTTTTTATGATGTATGGGCTTTGTATGGTTGCTATTAAGAAGCTTTTGGAATTTAAAATTAAATTGGGATTAATTTCTTATCTTTTAAAATTAATATAAAATCCAATTTCATTTGGGTTTTGTTATAGGGCGATTTAGTTTTATCGTTGTTATGATGGATGGGTTCTCTATGGAATTTAAAATTAAATTGGGAATATTTTCTCATCTTTTGCAACTAATGTAAACATCAATTGAAATTGATCCTGTCGGTTTTTTTTTCCTCCATTTTTATTCTTTTGAGTACATGTTGGTTGTGTTCATCTTTTAAGCATGGCACTCATGTGATTACTTGATTTCATATGAAGTTATCTCCTTGTGTCAGTGTGAGGCTTTGTTCCCTATACTTTGATAATTTCAACCAGCATCTCTTAAATAATGCAACTATAACGCCTAATGTTGTGTGCCTCATTTAAGATATCCATGCTTCCAATTTGATATAAGGTCCGTTAGCTAGCTGATACGAACAAGATATAAATTTCCACAACAATTAGAACAAAACAAAATATTTTACTCCGCCGGTACAATAAACAAACAACCCAAATACATAAAAATAAACATACAATTCGAGAGGTAGGTGTTTATCTCCCAATTTATTATTCAAGAGGTAGGCGTTCATTCCCCAAACCCTAACCCTAAACTTTAAGGCAACCATCCCATGCATAATATAACTCTAAACATATTAGTCCTATTTATACCCAACAATAATAACTGACAAATAACTAAATTTCTTCTTTTAGTCTTACACCTAACTTAAGTCTTCAAACTAGCTTGACAGGATTGGTGTCGACTCATTAGAGCATAAGGCGGATGGTGCCGTAGGCGCTGATCTAACATTACTCTCTTAAAAAGATACATTGTCTTCAAGGTGTGAGAGAATACTCGTGCAAGATTAAGTCCTATGACTCCCATCTGGTGTCCTCATCTGACTATCCTTTCCATTTAATAATTAATTCATAGCAACCCTCATGATTCAAAATGCAGTTTTGTGCACATTCTTTGGCCATATTTGAATCTGTTGGTACCCTGACTTCAAGTAAGTCTTGGAGAATACCACAACACCATGCAACACATATAGTAGCTTATTAATTATCGAGTTGAAAAATTTGTTAGGTGCTGTTTCATTATTCACTGCCTGATAATATGTGCGGTTGATCCAACCATAGACATCCTCTCATTTAAAGATCGACATCTTCAACTTCCTTATGCACGAGTCTCCTTTTCAGTTTTCTCAATTGAAGCTCATTTTACCCATGAAAGCGGGGATTGGGTTCTTTTTTTCTGCCCATATTGATTTCCTTTCTTCCATCAGTCTCTATCACTATAATAAGCTCGTTTGTCCCCATAGGCTTCTGAATCTCCTTCCGCCTAGAAAGTCACTGCAATAAATGGTACTGATGCGGTTAGTTGCATCCCTCCATTGGAGTCCCACCCATCTTGGTTCCCATACCCTCTCCGAAATCCTTCAAATCCATCTTCTCCAACCCTGAATCGCTTGCTGTCCAATTTTGCTTATCGTCACTCGTTCCAAATCTCGAGATGTGCAATTCCCTCCAGATGTTGTTATTCGACTCCGCTTCCAACTCCTTCGTTCAATCCCACATGCTTCTGTTTATTCCACCCATTTGGATGTTGCACTATTCCTTCAAGTGCTGTCACTCAAGTCCTCTCCCGATTTCTTTGCTTGATCTCGCGACTCCAGGTCTGCTTAATGCAACGACATTGTTTTGATGCCGCAGAAATCTTTCAGATTGTTGCTGCTCTCATCTGCTGCATATGTTGTTGCTCAATCCAATGGCAACTGACGACGAAGATACGTGAAATTCCACAATCTTCATGATCATTTCTTTTAGGGCCATGAATCTCCCTCTCATGGATGAGAATTGCTCCTCCATGCATCCATTTCATATTTGATTTGACTTTTTCCTTTGTCTAATTTCTCATTCAGAGTACCTACTTTCTTAGGCGCCATTACTCCCAGAACAATTTTCAATCACGAAATTGAAATCTTGTACTCCATCCACAATTGGGATTTCACAATCCTATTGTTGGCTTCTCGAATTGCAATTGTATCGCTAGGTTCATTTCCTGCACACTATCTTGTTGTTGGCTTCCCAGCTTAGGATGAATCACGATTGTATCACAAGGGTCTCTGTACATCGTGATCCTGTGGGCTACCAACTTGATCAAATCACGAATGTATCACGAGGTTCGGTCTCAAATGCATTTTTGGCTTTCCAGAAGTTGAATCGCGTCGCCTGTATGCCGCGATCCCGCCCTTGGATTGCCAACTATCTCAAACCGCGAGGTTTAGCCACGTCAATAGATCCTGTACGTTGAGATTCCTTCATATGCTTCCCAGCAGCTCGAATCACGTTTGTATCGCGATATTAGGCCACGAAGGTAGCTTTATCGCAAGTTTGGTCTTTCTTGTATGCTGTGATCCCTTTTTTGTTTCCCAGAATCGAATGCTTGGATATCAATTTGATACAAATGAGATGAAAATTTCCATAACAATTAGAGAAAAACAAAAGATTCTATTCCACCTTACAAAAAACAATACAACCAAAATACATAAAAGATAAACCTATAATTCAAGAGATAGGTAATTCTCTCCCAACCTACTATTCATGAGATTGGCGATCTCTCCACAAACCTTAACCTTAAATTTCAAGACAACAATCACATGCATAACATAATCCTAAATATATTAGCCCTATTTATACCCCACAATAATAATTGACAAATGACTAAGTTGCCCCTTCTAGTCTTATACCTAATTTAAGTCATCAAACTAGTTTGGGCTGGCTCAGCGTGACTCATTGGAGCACAAAACGAACGGTGCCTTAGGCGCCGATCTAACTCTAGCCTACCAATTCTAGTTGAAGTAGAGGGAACCAGGGAAAATCATGATACATTAGATAATTTATGCATAAGTTGGTATTTTATTTAAGGTATTTATGTAACTTCTAGTTTTATCGATGCCATACTAGAGACTACATTTATATCCTCTCAATGTTGACTTGCCCTTTGTCTTAGAAGTGTTCTTTTATTACTGATTACTTTATGAAGCAAATGCAAGTCAAAAGCCTTCAACCATCCCTGTTATACTAAAAAAATTTTCTTTTTAAAATTAGTCGAACAACAACTATGACACATCTTAACGTTGCCAGGCATGCGATGAAGTAATTTTTTATTAATGAGCTAGCTTGGAATATTATATTTTTATTGTTAATGATGGAGTTTCTATTGAAGAGAACATTAGTATTAATAGCGTTGATCACAATGTCGAATGTGTTTGGTCAATTAGAAGTACAACGGGTGCATTCTTATTTCTTTTGGCATTTTGAATGTTATATACTGTTTTGGGCATTTCACTTGGAAAATATTATATTGATATGAATAAAATCACGTGGTGTGTTATTTACAATTATACACATTTGATAGAAAGAAAGTAGAGTTGAAAAAATATTGAAATACAATTATAATTGAGCTTCTATTTTTACTAGTTGATCCTTATACTCATATACATGATACTTATAATTATATTTCATTTTATAATAGTTTTGGATAGAGAAGGCAGACATTATGTGCATTGATTATACATTTTATACTAATTATTTATACAAAAATAGTGCCCATGATATATGGAGTTTTATTTTTTACAGTTATGCTTGCTTCAGTGTTTGTGTTTTATAGTTACCGCTGCTGTGCCAATTATGGTAAAGTGAAGTATAACATATTTAATGTTTTTAGTTGGTTTGCTTTATATTCGTAACATATTAGATAAGGGAAAATTGTCTCTTATTTCCACAGTAAGATGGTAAGATTGTGCGTGTGCGTATATTCACTTATTTGGTATTGATATCACTTTGGACAGAACTAATTTGCGTGACTTAATAGGTTATTTATCATCATAGTAGGCCATGGTTATGTCAAAAAGTTGTAGCAAAGTAGGCTCTCCATGGTTTTCTTTTATATTTACAATGGAGCACTGAAGACTCGGTCTCCTTGGACTCCCTCATGTTGGCCATTTGGTTTTTTTATGCAATTATAGATTTATCTGGTGTCATATTCCAATAATTATTGCTTTTGTTGCAATTTTGTTACAGGTGCACATTGCTGGTGTTGGTGACTTCAGCTTAGCAGGGTTAACTAGCCTGACTGATCCCTGCCCGTTGCCTTCTGCTGCTAAAAAGAAAGGACTCCGTGACAAAGAGAAACTTTTTTACGCTCCCATGTCGGGTGTTGGAGATCTCTTGTACGACAAAGATGCAGTGTACATTGACGTAAATGACCACTTTGTTCAGTATTCTAAAGTTGATGGTGAAAATGGCACAAGTGTAAGGAATGGTATTTTCCTTATGAATTGCATGCTCATTTCTTTCTCTTTTTTTTTGTTTAATGCTTGTAGATGTTTTTTAGGGAGATCTACTCACATACTACTCAATTCCTATGTATTTACATATCTAACACCTAAATTCTAGTTTTTACATAGATACAAGCATGAAAATATGTATTTCACCTTTTAAAAATTATAATAGTGGTATTTTTGCTGTGATATGAAGGATTTAGGTGGTATTAATGTAAATGATAAAGTAAAAATCAAAATAACTTTTAGATTTTTTTTTTAAACAAAAATAAAAACATGCAAAGAATGCATTAGACAAAAATGCTTTTAAAATAAAGTAAAAACAAAAACAATAGTAATCCCAAATAAGCCCTAGGACTTGGGATCAATTTTATATATATATTTTTTTATTTTTTGTTTTTTCCTTTATTTTAAAAATATGTTTGTTTAATGTGTTTTCAATATATTTTTATTATTTTTTTTCTAAAACAAACAGATAAATTTGTTTTTGAAAACATTCAAAAACAACTTTAGGGGTTTTAAAAAAAAATGATATGTTAATCAATATAGAAAACATGTTTTGTTAATGTTAAAACATAAACAAAAACAAAATAAAAAAAAAAATGAAAAACAGAAGTAATCCCAAATGACTCCTTAAGTATGGTAGTTTTTAAAAACACTGAAAACCAACTAAAAACTATTTTGAGTATTTGCAAAAAACATATTAATTTACTTTTAGAAACAAAAAGTAAAAACATGTTAAAAAACAGACTAAATAATATGTTTTTAAAAAGAAAGGGAAAAGCAAAACACAAATTTGATCCCAAACAAGGCGTAATAAAATACTCCAACATATTTTGTTTCAAATCAAAACATTAAAAAAATAAAATAAAAAAAATAAAAAAAAAGTGATCCCAAACGGACTAAAAGATGCCATTTGGGGTCACTTTTTTTGTTTTCTATTTTTCATTTTTTATTTTGTTTTTGTTTTGATTTTAAACAATACATATTTGTCTTGTTTGATTAAGATATGATTCTTTCTAAAACACTCAAAGTATCTAAAAAATATTTAGTGTTTTAAAAAGCATGTTACAAATAAACAGCGCGCTAAACACATGTTTTTAAAAATAAAAACTACGTAACTGTAGTGATTATGAACTTTCAAGTAAGGAGAGTATTTTGCAGTATATGTACAAAATGAGTGGTCTGTAATTTTTATTGATTTTACTATTTCTTTTTGAAGGTTCAGCGTTGTCTTGATATTTTACATTGTTATGTTACCTACATGATTAAAGGTGCATTTTCTAATTTTTTGTTGCTTTATCTGTACTTGCAGGTAAGGAACCTGATGTAGGTGAATCTTTAGTAAAAATACTGCAGACTACTAGATATTCGATTGATGAGAAGTTGGACAAAAGCTTCATTGATCTCTTTAATGTGAAACCTTTAAATTCATCGAACGATGCAAATGTTTCACACGATAAAACTACAGTTAGAGGTGAAATAACCAGCAATAACTGCTATGGCCAGGAACATATTGATCCCATAGATGGCGAGAGTTTTAAAGCGAGTGATAAGATTGAGAAAATGAATATGACAGATGAAATTGAGCTTGAGGATTCTGATGAAGAAAATGATTATCATGATGAGGATGATCAGCAAATTCTTTTTAATGATGATCAAGAAGCTGAATTCCACAATGGAAGAATGAGGCGAAAAGCAATTTCTAATTTTGAAGATCTAGAGGTACTGAGACTTTTTATATCTATTTGATGTAAATTATGTTTAACACGGCTGGAAGTCTTGACATGGTTTATGGATTGCTTTTAAATGGCTAACTTTGAATAGACTAGCTTTCAATTTATGTTACACTTGCTTCTTTTTTATTTTTTATTTTTTTGGAAAAAATACATTACTTACTACTCAATTCCTATGTATTTACATATATGACGCCTCAACTACAATTTTTACATACATACCACTGTACAGATGCATGAAACGGTGTATTTCACTTTTTAACAGTTAAAATGGTGGTATTTTTATGTGATATGAAAGAATTGGATGGGCATAAATGTAAAAAATTAAAGTTTAGGTGTTAGATATGTAAATACATGGAACTTGGTGGTATTTCTGTAGATCCACAACAACCCCCGCCCCCGCCCCCCCCGCGCCCAATTTCTTTTTTCGGTTTAACATTGCATTACACATTTTCTTTTTGTTGGGGCTTTGCTGGTTTTTTGTTTTGCATGGAAGAGTTGCCAACTCTGCAACTGTCAATATTAGTTAATTGGATTAAAAAATGAACTTTGCTTGGTATCAGTTAATTTATTATTTGAAATTTTCAGTTTTGAATCCATTATATATGCACTGATATTAATTGGCTCAGTGGACATTCATTTTTCCATCTGTAGCAGCTGCGTGCTACCCAAATATTTTTTTTCCATTTTCACCATCCATGCTTTCTCTAGGAGCTATTCTCCTACTTTACAAGTTTCAATTTGCAGGATCCATTCTTTTATTCAATGGCTGTAGTAGCATACCAACCTAACTGTTTTGGCTTTTTTTTTTTTTTTTTAAATAAATAATCTTATAAGTAATTTTCATTTACTGTCTATTAATATATTGTGGCTATTTTTAACTAGTTATGTCCGTTTCATAAACATACTATAGCTCTTATCCTTTCTACATTCGCTTTCATGTTTATGCTAGCTAAGCTTCCTTTGCTTTATATTTTACATTATTTGATCATATCATGTTTATTTTCTGTTCTCTATGTTATCCTAGACAGGTACTATTCTCAAACAATTTAAATACTCATTTTTCAGCTTTCTTTTGTGATTCTACTGTGGATTCATCTTAAACATATTAAGTAATGTGCATGCTTTTCAATATATGAAAATATATTAAGTACCGTTTCAGATTTATAAGGGAAAATTTATTTTCTACCAAGTACCAACCTACTTGTTCCCATTGCCTATTTCATTTTATTTTATATTCTTATTACTTGTTAGGTTTGCCTTGTTTCTCAGCTTTATTTTTAAAATTGTTTGTAATTGTGCTATTTTTGTTACTTCGATTTTCCTTTAGTCAGTTTGTGTAAAATGTGCATCTCCATTGCAGGATTTTTCTTAATTTCTAGTTACTTTTTCTATAGGTTTCTGAGGAAGATGAGGAAGATAACCAGTTGACCCTCAGTTCAGAATCTTCTGGCGGTAGTGGTGAGGACACGGACTCAGGTACTTTATTTACTGCACTTATTCAATTTTTGTTGTCTTAAGTAGGATGAATATATTCTTGAACTCATTTATACTGTTTTTACTGCTCATCTTGTTCATTTTTATGAGGATCATGGTGATTGTTCTTATCTTTTTGGTCCCCTGACTGTTTATACGGGTCATTTTAGTTTTAGAGTTTATAAAATGACAGATTAGTCACAGAGCCTTTAAATTGAGGCTGATTTTAGGTCATATTAATAGAGTTTGGGACTAAATTTATATTTTTATAGATTTTGGAACTAAGGCGATCTCTGCAAAGAATTAGTGAACTATTTTGGCATTTTTCTCTTTTGGCATCTATTTTTTTGGAATGGACATTTTTGTGCCTGTTGTAGACACTAGTGTGGATTTAAATTGTTTGGTAGATGATGCTAGATTCTTTTCCATCAAATCTTCTGACTTGGGTGGATAATTATTTTTTGAAATTAATAACTAAAATAAGCAGAGGGGGGAAATGATTCAAAGTGGAAGAAGTCTTTGATTGCCAGAGCAAGGATGAGACAAAACACAAATCTTATGCAACTTGTATACGATCAATCTTCATCTAATCCTGCAACCACTGGAAGGGTAACAGAAGGTAGTAATAGTGAAGATAGTGATGATGAGGAATTCTTCATTCCAAAAAATGAATGGGACAAGGTACTCCCCATTTTTTATAAATTGTTACTCATGTAATTAGCTATTATTCAATTTTTAAGATCTCATAATTCACTCATACATTCGAGGGAGACATAAATTTTATCCTACTTCATGTATTTTACAGAGGATTATTCAGAAACCTGACTATGATGATATCAATATTGAGGACTGCTCCAAATTGGTTCCTTCACTACTCAAGGACTGGTCTAGTGAAGGCCTCATCAGTGTTATCCGTGATCGTTTTGTCACAGGAGATTGGTCAAAGGCTGCTAGACGAGGTGAAGTGGGTGATGCTGAAGAAGACGGGGAAGCCCTTTATGGTGATTTTGAAGATCTGGAAACAGGCAAAGTGTTCAAAAACCAGTCGGTGGATGATGCTAAAGGGGATGACGTTAAAGAGATGGAAGATCCTGAAGCGGAGGAGCGAAGGCTGAAAAAGCTTGCTCTTCGAGCAAAATTTGATGCACAATATCCTTTTTTTATATTACTTTTGGTTAAATTTAAAAGCTAATTTGCAATCTTTTATTGTTTGTCTACTATATTTTTGTATAATTTGAATCATGTTGTCAACGAGTAAAGTGCCAAAATAGTCTAGTGACTATTGACATGGTGCCATTTTATTCCTAGAGTCTAGAAAAAATATCATTTTAGTCCCTAAACTCTTTTAATTTAGGCTAAAATAGTCCTCACCCTATTAAAAAATCTGAGGACTAATAACCGGCTGCTTATTTAGTGCGGTGGCATTTTGAAAACGCATCTGGTCTGTTTGGGTAAATTGCGTTTTGACAGCTTATGCATTTTCAAAAAGTTAAAAATAACATTTTCACACCGCACCTATCTAGGTGCGGTGATAGCTTTCTAGCTGCGGTCTGACTTTTCAAAAAAAATAAAAATTTATAATAACCACCGTACCTTGCTTATCAACATATTATTTTTAATCAACTTATCAGCAGATTATTCAATACGCTGCGGCTGCCTTAAACAGACCCATAAATTGACACTTTTATAGACTCTAGGTTTACAATGGCTCCCTACAAAGAGTCAGGGAACCATTTTGACACTTTTCTTTGATGTCGATATATTGTTGACTTTTGTTTCTGTTCGGTCCAGTAAAATTCAAATCATACAACGGCTTTTCTATGAAAGTATTGAAAGCACTAATTTCTTTTTCTGCTTTTGTAATTTGTCTTTTTACCTTTATGTAGTCCTTCTTCATGTTTTAAATCTTTAACTTTGACACACGTATGACGAATCTGAGATATCTGATGAAGAAGATGATCAAACTAAAGGGAAAAAGTTTGCCTCAGGCAGTGCCAATGCTAGTGGCTACTTTGACAAGGTATACTCGTGAGTTTTTTATTTTTCCTCCCCCTTTTTCTCTCTATTCCTTTCTTTTCTTTATCTTTTCATAAATTATAAGAACGTGGTAAAATTTTTTTTATTGAACTCCTTTCTTGTAGCTTGCTGACCCAATCTTGTAAACCTTAGCGTTATCGTTAAACATTTGAGTTTTTTCATGTGAATCTGAAAGTTGAAAGAGGAGATGGAGCTTCGTAAACAGACGAACATATCTGAACTCAATCAACTTGATGAGGCTACTCGTGTGGAGGTTGAGGGTTTCAGAACTGGAACATACATGAGATTGGAAGTTCATAATGTTCCATTTGAATTGGTTGAACATTTTGATCCACATCACCCTATATTGGTTGGGGGCATTGGAATTGGCGAGGACAATGTTGGTTACATGCAGGTTTGAATAAATTTTTATATTTTTCTCAAGGCATTAAAAAGTCACTTGCTTATTCGATTAATTTCTTTTTTGATCCATTACATACATACCAACCAAAACCTATGTATTTTCATATCCAACACCTTTTATTTTTTTACATGTATACCACCCAAATATTTCATATCACATTAAAATATAACCTTTTAAACTCTTAATAAGTGAAATACACCCTTGCATGCACGGGTAAGGTGGTTTGTATGTAAAAATTGAAGTTTGGGTTTTAGACATGTAAATACATAGGAATTGAGTGGTATGTATGTAAATTTTCCTTGTTTTGGGGTTTTTAATTTCATCGTCATCTAGGCTCGCTTGAAGCGTCATCGATGGCACAAGAAGGTGCTGAAGACCAGGGATCCAATAATTGTTTCGATTGGTTGGAGACGTTATCAAACGATTCCTATCTATGGCGTCGAGGACCAGAATGGACGACATCGTATGCTGAAGTATACACCTGAGCATATGCATTGCTTTGCAATGTTTTGGGGCCCTCTCGCACCTCCTTCAGCCGGAATAATTGCCGTGCAAAACTTATCCAATAATCAGGTAATAAATGCGAACAAGTGAAGTTCTTATTTTTGGCATGGCCTATCTTACAAGCTTATTAGAAATTAAAGTGGCTTTGATCATTTTTGTGAAATATATCCATGAAGATGTAGTCATACCTTTGGGTTTCATTAGAACTTATTTCTGGAGCATTTTACTTGTCTAACTTCTTCTTTGCCTCACCTTGAAAATGTTTTATCTTATGATTTTCTTCAAGAGTTAAGCTATTGTCTTTCAATCTTATGTGATGATATTTGTTTGATTAATCCTATGTACATTGCTAGTTTCATCATCTTTCCTTTGTAATGTCGGCTTATTAAAATAGGAAATTTATATACATAAAACACAATTCTTATCTATTTACATTTCTAATGCCTAAAGTTTGATATTTTCATTTATAACACTTTGGTATTAGAAGTCCATGCATAAAAATGCATATTCACTTTTAAAAAGATAGTGATAGTGGTATTTTTCTCGTGGATAAATCTTTTTGCTTTAGTTATGGATGGTCTTACTGGACATCTACAAGAGAATGTACCTTGGTGTATGCTTTTTGCTGATGATATTCTTCTCGTGGATAAATCGAGAGAAAAAGCCCAGGAAAAACTTGAATTATGGAGGTTTACATTGGAGTCTAAAGGCCTTCGTTTAAGTAGAACTAAAACTGAATACATGGAATGTAATTTTAGTAGTAATAGCTCTAGTGACAGAAGTGTGACTTTGGGTGATCAAATTATTAAAAGGTGTGAACGATTTAGATATCTTGGGTCCGTTGTCCAAAGCGATGGTGATATAGATGGGGATGTTAATAGTAGAATTCAAGTTGGTTGGTTGAAGTGGAGGAATGCTTCGGGTCTTTTGTGTGATAGAAAAGTACCGCTAAGACTGAAAGGAAAATTTTATAAGATGGTGGTGAGACCTGCAATGCTCTATGGCGCTGAATGTTGGCCTTTAAAAGAGAAGCATAATAATAAGTTAAGTGTTGCCGAGATGAGAATGATTAGGTGGATGAGTGGCTTTACACTTAGAGACAAAATGCGGAATGAATATATTCGTGATAGGGTTGGTGTAGCTCCTGTGACAGACAAAATTAGAGAAAGTCGTCTTAGATGGTTTGGTCATATTAAACGTCGACCATTAGATGATCCGATTAGGAGAGTAGATGCTTTAAATTCGACTTGTGTTAAGAAAGACAGAGGTAGACCTAGGAAGACTTGGGCTTATTGTATTAAAAATGATCTTAATTTACCAGAACTAAATGAAAATATGACACTAAATAGGACGCAATGGAGAAAAAGGATTCATGTAGCCGACCCCACGTAGTGGGATTAAGGCTTTATTGTTGTTGTTGTTGT